AACGGGGAGGGGATTGCGATTTTACCATATACTCGAGCATCCGGGAGACGACGATAGGCAGTGGTACGACTTTCGAGCAAGCTTCTATTGTTGATATTCTTGAAACCAAAAAAAATTCCGGTGAATCCGAGTCCAGTTTCAATAATATCAACGACACAACCTTGCTCGAAGCCGGTTAGAGAAAAGAAACGGGCGGCAGTGGGCGGCGGCGTGGGATTTTTTGATGTTTTGAGTCGGAGATATGGAAAGAGGGGGAGAAGAGGAGGCCGGTGGTGTAAAATTTTTGGAGTTTGGGGTGGTGGGCGGCGGCTAGGGTTTCGGTTAGGCTTAGATCTACGGAGATTGGTGGAAATTTGGAGGATATGAGTGGTATAGGTAGAAAGAGGAGGAAGAGGGGAAGAGATGATGAAATTTTGGGGTGGATTGGAGGGTTGCCGCCGGCGGCGGCGATTTCCGGCCGGCGACGACGGCCGGCGGTGGGGCGGCGTGGCAGAGAGGGGGGAGAGAGTGATAAGAGAGAAAAAGAGAAAAGAATTATGGGTGGAAATGGGGAAATTTTTCAGATTTTGGAGGCTTTAAATACCTAGGCCAAGAGTGAATGAGATCCATTGGATCAAGATGGAATGGAGGGGTAAGATTTGATCTTGTTTTATTTAGTGAAACGACGTAGTTTTATTATGAAACTACGTCGTTTTGATCCGGGTCTTGGCAAGCCATCAATTGGTCTGGGTTGGTGCAATTGGGCCAATGATTTGGTCCGATTTTTTAGCCCATTTCACTTTAAAATAACACTAGCCCAAAGTTTTGTTCCTCTCTTAATTAAATCATAATAAAACTCTCAAAACCTACATACACACAAATAAGAACACACACACACACACACACACACACACACGTATATATATATATATATGGAATAAAAAGGCATGGCAAAAATTAAGCATTTACAGGTTTTGAAGAGAAGATCATTGGGTAACGTTTTCTTAATCCTTTTTAATTATATTCCATCAAAATATAGTTAAATCCATCTTTTAAATTCGAATTTGAGGACCAAAATTGGGGAAAATTTAGAAGAAACTTCTTAGATCAAACTATTGAGTTTTGAGTGGGTGTTTGACCTCCAATTTGGGAGATTTTTATATGGTTATACTCGTGAGAGTACGAGGGTTCCGAAAATGTGAAAAATAATCCGGTTCCGAGACTTTGGCCTGAGGGGCGTTTTGGTCATTTTACCTATTTTCGCGCCTTAGCTTTGAATTAAATAGTAGAATCAATTGCTTGCGATGTTATTTACGATATGTAAATGTATTGAATAGATTTGGGCCATTTGGAGTCGGATACTCGTGGCAAAGGCGTGGTTTTACTAGACTGCATTTTGATGCCGGTTCGAGGTAAGTGGCTTGTCTAACCTTGTGTGGGGGACCTTTCCCCTTAGGATATGATATGTGGTAATTGAGTGCCTTGTACGTGAGGTGACGAGCGCGTACTTGAGCTAATTGTTGAAAAATACGGTTATTACTTAAGATATTGAGACTGAGTTTCCCTCATATTTGCCTTGTTTTACTTGCAGTTATAACCTATGTTAGATTAGAAAAGCATGTTTAGTTGATTTAACTTGCCTAATTGTTTAAGTTGCCTTGACTGGAACTACGTGAAGCATGCTAGGCTAGTACTACCTAATGTTTGTCTTTTGTACTTCATTTCTAAATATCTTCTGGTTGTGGTTGCGCATTTACATTGGGACTACGGATGCGGGATTCTGGTAGCTCCCCCCCCCTCCTTGTTTGTTTACTTTGGGACTGCGGGTTCGATTCCCGATAGATCCCCCTGCACATTTACTTTGGGACTACGGGTTAGATTCCCGATAGATCCCCCTGCACATTTACTTAGGGACTGCGGGTTAGATTCCCGACAGATCCCCTTGTATATTTACCTTGGGACTGCGGGTTAGATTCCCGATAGATCCCCCTGCACATTGATAGCTGGACTACGGGACGATATCCCGTAAGATCCTTCGGATATTCACATATGATGGACTACGGGACGGTATCCCGGGAGATCCACTGAACAGTTGAGAAAAGGACTACAGGACGGTATCCTGGGAGATCCTCATTGTTACCATTGGTATTGAGCTGTACTTATTCTGTGTTTGCTCCGTTCTTGGTGTATTTGTCATTGCTTTGTTTAGTCTGTCTTATTCCACTGCTGTACTCACTGTTACTGCCTATTTTCATACTGTTGATTTATATTATATTGTTTAACCTCAGTAGGGCCCTGACCTTCCTCGTCACTACCCAACCGAGGTTAGGCTTGGCACTTACTGAGTACCGCTGTGGTGTACTCATGCCCTTCCTGCGCATGTTTTTCATGTGCAGATCCAGGTACCTCCACTCAGGCGCACTATCCTTGAGGCGAGGAGAGCTACGGAGACTTCGAGGTATATCTGCAGCGTCCGCAGACCAAAGAGTCTCCTTCCTTATTCTATCTGTGGTGTCTAGATTTTATCATACTTTTGATGTAGACATTCTGGAGATTAGAGCTTTTACAGTATTTCTATTAGCCTGTGGTTCCCGTGAGTTTCCGGGTTTTGGGATTGAGTTGTAGGCTTCCGCATTTCTTTTGAGTTGTATAGGCCGAGCGGCCTTATATGCAGTTATTATTTTAACGTGTCTAGCTTTATTTAACTATTTCGCAAGTTAGGTTGTTATTTCCGCATTTTTAGGCTTACCTAGTTGTAGGAACTAGGTGCCATCACGACCTGTTCATGGAGGGTGAACTGGGGTCGTGACAATACTTCTTGTTCAAGTGTCTCATTTTAAGTATTTAAAGTTATTTGATTATCCAAAATGAGGGAATAAATTGGACTTCAAATTATATAATATATTAATTAAAAAGTCATGAGCAAGACTTGAACATAGGAATAAGTTATGATAAAAGAAAACAGAATATGAGGAAGCATATTATATGACGGAGGTAGTTTACTCATCGAGAGGTCTATAAATTACGATCTTTGGATCTAGTAATGAGATACTCTTACAAAAGTATTCATAAAGTTTGAAGTGTTATTTCTAGTATGGGGTTGATAAAGCTTAGTGTTATTTTTACTATTTTTATCATGGCAGCTACTAGTTAGTATTCATTTCTATTTATTTTTACGTTATTCATCTATATTATTACGTTCATTAATATGTATAGGTACATATGTGATGTTGCACATATTTCATAAGAATTGAGTTTATTAATGTGTATGCATGTGTTATATGATGTTTAGATGTGAGTTATTCACATTATGTTGAATTGTTGATATATAATTATGATGGTGAAATATTGCAGTTACTGTACCTTGGTTCTCAATGAAGCAAGTTATAGCAATACCGGATGTCGATCATGTGCTCTCAGGACTCAAGAGGAGAGTGCTCCCACAGCTTAATACTTGTCTTCGATCTTGTACTTCATATAGTGATTGCGACGATTGTTGGATTTGTTGTTATTGTGCATACACCGGTGATATTCGAGATCATACCGTGTGTGGAACGACGATTTTTTAGTGCTAAGTGGCAGCAAACTCTGCTACAAATTATTACTATGCATTGGTGTATTATCATGTGATTTCAGTATTTGTTTGTCTTTGTTGAAAGTAATGAAAATGTCATGAATGACTCTCTATCCAGATATAAAAACCGATACATGTTCTTGTCATTTACTCAAAGTTCAAGGGGGGAGGGGGTGGTTAAGTTACAAAGCAAAATTTGGGGGTATAAATGATTTTACCCAATAAATGACATATCTATTGCCTTTTTCTTCTTTGTAGTAAAAAGGGCCTCCTCTTTTCTTTTTCTTTTTTTATTTGTGATAATTCTAAATAAGATATGGATCAACTAATTAGGCGCCATCACGACTCCCGATGGTGGGAAATCCGGGTCGTGACATTAGTTTCTAGCCAATTTCTACGCTCAGAAAAGCTATTATGGGATAAAATCAATTTCATAATATTTTTAGTAGATTCAAAGGGATAGTCTGGTGCATTAAGCTCCCGCTATGCGCGACGTCCGAGGTCCGAGCTGTTTTCACGGCTCAAACTCGTGACCTTCTGGTCACATGGTAGCAACTTTACCAATTACGCCAAGACTCCCCTTCAATATTTTTAGTAGATTGTTTTTAATTATCAATGTTTGGCGTTAGTCGCCTATTACTACTATAGATATCTAGATGAAACTACTAATTATCTCCAATAATGTATACTTCGAGCATACATTATGAATGCTAATTTCGAAGTATATTATATAAACTATTTAATACTCTGAACTTTTAATTGTCAATTTTATTACACATATATAAATCCTAACACAAAAATATTTACTACAACAAAAGAATTCTATAGTTCCTTTTAATCAAGTGGACAATATGTAATTAAATAGAAATATTTAATAGCCATGTGCATTATATAAATGCTTTTTATTGGATTCATCTTTAATCCTAACATGGTTCATACGAAAAAAATGGATCTGAATTTAAGTCAACCCATTATTTTAAAAAAATAAACGAAAAAAGCAAATTTCACTATAGAGTACTTCTTGGTCAACTGTCTTATTTTAAATATTTAATTCAATTTATTTTTCCGGGAATGAGGCAGTAGTCTATAGTTTCTTTTAATCAAGTGGACAAGTGTAATTAAATAAAATAAAAAGCTAATAGCCATGTGCATAGTATAAATGCTTTTGATTAGATTCATATTTAATCTTAATATACTTCACACGAAAAAAATGGATCTGAATTTAGGTCAACTTATTATCTTAAAAATAAAAAATTGAAGAAGCAACGTTAATAGGAAAGGGAAGCCATCATGACAAGACCTAAACATAGAAACAAGTGAAGAAATAATAAAAGAAATAAAAGGGAAAAATAAATAAGTATATTACATGCATGGAGTTGTTACTTATCAAAAGGACTATAAATTACGACCTTCCGACCTAGTAATGAGATACTTACACAAAATAAATCTTATAGCTTGAAGAGTTATTCCTAGCTTGGCGATGATTAAACTTAGTTTCATATTCACTATTCTTTTCATGATAGCCACTAGTTAGTATTCATCTCTACTTATCTCTACATTATTCTCCTACAATATTGTGTTACATTTCATACAAATTGAATTCAGTAATGTATATGCATGTGTGTTTTATTATACGAGGTTCAAATGTGAATTTTTATTATTATGTCGATGATTAGTTGATTATTTATGATTATAAAATATTTCAGTTAATACGTCTTGGTTTTCGAAGAAGCAAGTTATAGCTACATCAGATGTTGATCATATGCTCTTAGGACTCAATAGGAGAGTGCTCCCACAGCTTAATACTTGTTTTAGAGCCTGTGCTTCCGACAGTGATTGCAGTGATTGTTGGATTTGTTGTAAATGTGCGCGCGCAGTCTCATACGCGTATGCGGAAGAATTGGTGTTGTGCATTTAGTGTCTAGTGATACCAACTATTATGCATTAGTGTGTCTTCGTGTAATTTCAGTGGTTGTTAGTCTTTTCTTATTTACTTGTCTTTTATACTTTGAATAATAATATTAATAATTGGATTTGCTAGTTTGTGTCAAAAGCTAAGCATGTCATTTTCCTCTCCTTTTCCATTTATAAGTTGACAGCTCTTATTTTTTCAATATTATAGAACATAGAAATATATATAGAAATATTAAGAGTAACCCGATGCACTAAACTCTTGCTATACGTGGGATCCGAAAAAGGATCGGACCACAAGAGTCTACTCTATGCCGCATTACCCTGCACTTTCTGCAATAGGCTATTTCCACAGCTCGAACACGTGATCTCATGATTACATGGCAGCAACTTTACCAATTACGCCCAGACTCCCCTTCACATGAAAATATTAAGAGCAATCAATATTCTTTTGTCAAAGAAAACCATTGAAAATCTATTTCCACTAAACATTGCTTTCGACTGGAAATTACAGAACATGGAAATATCTGCAACTAAGTGATTCATACAACAAAAGATTCTAACGAGTGTCACAATTTACATCACTTCAGCTCAATGCCTATTTCCTAGTAAATCAGATTTCAAGAACATCAGAAAAAGTGTATGTTGAGGACTGCCCACTCTTCCTTCAAATTAGATTAATTCCCTAATACTGTTAGCTAATGACATCATTAACTGAGTAACGGCGATAGAAGCCAGAAGGCCAGCTCCACTGTGGTAGTGTCCGACGAATCCCAATTTCTTCATTCGATCAATCCTGAGAAAAGAGATGAAAAAAGAACAAATGATTTACAAGATGGTTCAACAGAGAAATTTAGCTTTTAACATTAGCTCCAAAGAGCTAAAAGTAAGTAATAATACAACTATACCGACAAGTTTAAGAAACAAAGGGTTTAGAAGTAATACAACTATACCGACAAGTTCAAGTTGTTTGAAACATAACACCTAAAAGGAATTGGAAGACAAGGCTCAGAAGTCGGGAAAACTAAGATTTATATCAAACATGATTGTTGGGTGTTAATGGTATCGTTAATACATAACGATTACCAGTCCTTTTGGCTGTTTGGAATCTTCCGAATGTAGCAAATGCAACATACTTGGTTATTCAACAGAGTGCCCCAACTGAATCCCAGAGACATACAAAAACCCAAAAGACGATATATCAGAAGCAAAAATTCCATAAGACATACAAATGATGCTGTAGATATCCTACTAGTAATAGTAAATCATCTCTTTAATAGATGAAAAATGGTTTAGAAGTATGGTCAAATATGTTACTTCTTCCAAATTGTTCCAACTCCTTCTCAGTTTCCTTCTGATAACTTTTGATGTAGCATGTGAAGTTCTAACGGCACATAAATTTACAACCAAAACTGAAAAGAACAAATGGTATAAGATGCACAACTGTTTCCGTGTATCTCAACAGCAAACACAAAAAGAAAAAGCAGCGATTTGAGCTAATTCCCTGTTGTTTCTCCAATTATTTATGCATTTAGATACCAAGTAACCTCAATGAATGGAATGGCAAGAATATTTTGGGATAGCCTCATATTTGTCGCATGCAATACTAGTTAATCAAATTGTGAAACCTTGCTATGCAAGCTTGCAAAATAAGCAATTAATATGTCACATGCACCACTAATCAAATTGAGGAGATTTACTTTTGTAGTACATCAGAAATGTTATTTTAGTTATATGTCATTAAGAGAAACATAATACATGAGCTCTGGAAAAATATAAAGGAGATCTTTCTGAAGTCATTTTCTTCTATTCAAATTGTAAGCGAGAATAGGAGATCATTTCATCATCAAATTGTATAACCATGTCATCCAAGCTTGCAAAATTAATATGTCACGTCACACGTGCACTACTAATCAAACTGTGTATACTTGTTATCCAGTCTAGCAAACTAAGAAATTAACAAGTAATTAGTTCATTACTTGAATTACGTGTAGAACGCAATTACTAATAGGAATACAACAAGAAATAATAAACAATTCAATCTGAAGTTTTAATTGTAAATCTTAATACCCTACATAATCCTAACACAAAAATGTTTACAATCAGTCAATCACAAACGGAAAAAGTCTATAATTTCCTTTACTCAAGTGGACAATGCGTAGTTAAGTAGAAATGTAGTAGCCATGTGCTTAGTATAAATGTTTTGGATTATGTTCATCTTTAATCGGAACATGCATCATACGGAAAAAATGGATCTGAAATCAAGTCAACCTTATTCTAAAAACAAAAACAAAGAAGCACATACCACTACACAGTAAGTCTTGGTCAAATGTCTTAGTTTAAACATTAAAAGCAATTTTGTTATTCGAAAATGAAGGAGCAAATATGTATCAAGAGGTCTATAAATTAAGACCTTTGGATCGAGCAATGAGACACTCACACAAAAATTTCATAAAGCGTGAGACGCTATTCCTAGCATGGCGTTGCTTAAGCTTAGTTTCATTATCACTATTCTTATCATGACAACCATTGGTTAGTATCCATCTCTATTTATCTCTACATTCTTCTTCTACATTATGTTGTTTGTTAATATGTATAGAGGTACATATGTGACCTTGCACATATTTCATACGAATTAAGTTCAGTAATGTGTATGCATGTGTGTTTCATTATATGATGTTTAAATGGGCGTTTTGCATATTATGCTGATTATTATTTAGTTCTAATAATTATGATTGTGAAATATTTCAGTCAATGTGCCCTGGTTCTTGACGAAACAACAAGTTATAGCTACACCGGATGTTGATCATGTGCTCTCAGGACTCAAGAGAAGAGTGCTCCCACAGCTTAATACTTGTCTTAGACCTTGTACGTCGGACAGCGATTGCAGTGATTGTTGGACTTGTTGTACTTGTTCGCACAGCATCTTTGATTGGGAGCGCCTTTACTACTTTTGTGCGTAGGCGATTCAGTGTCCACACATTACTATTATGCATTAGTGTGCCGTCGTGTGATTTCAGTGTTTGTTCGTTTTTTCTTATTTCCTCGTTTTTATACTTTGTAAAAGCAATAAAATAAAGTCGTGAATGACTTTCTATTCAGAAATAGTAATTGATTATGCTCCAAAAGATGGTTGGATTTGCTTTGTAGTTGTTGTATCACTCATCATGCATTTTCTAAAGTAGTTAGTTTTAAGTTGATCACACATGGGTTCTTTCTTCTTGTTCATTTCTTATATTCATTTACCCTTCAATTTTCTCTAACGAAGTGTTTCCTTTAACTATTTATAATGGGAGTTTTTTGTTCGTTGAGCTCCTTAGAATCTCTATACAAGGGGGAAAAAAGGAAAAGGAAAATAATATGCACAGGAAGTGAATTTTAGGTACTCCCGTATAACTTTTAAACTAAATTCCAAACTTCTCAACAAAAATGTATTTTGAGATAATTTAGAAGGAAAATATTACACCCAGACAACAATAGTTGGAAGGGAAGGTGGAAACAGTGCAAACATTTCAGTATATGCAAGTGTAACCATGAGTAAACAATGTAGAAGTTTAAAGCTCTTGAGTTATATAAAGTGGACCACCATTTCATTTTAGCAAAAAGCAATTAAACTGGCCTCAAAGTAGAAACCATAGTTCTCCATTTGAACGGGATGAAGTATTTTTTTATGAAAACATGTAAAGAAAACAAAAGATAAACTTCACGTCAGATAACTGATCCTAGTTATATGAAAAGAAACGCACTCTGGAAAGGCTGAAAAGGCACCAACTTAAGGACTTCCCTAATTTTTCTATATATTCCAAAGTCATAGGTTTTTTGGGGGGGGGGGGGGTGGGGGGGGGGTAGGGGTTACGTACCCTCAGCGAAAGCAGCAAATTCGTTATACTTCATTCGTCCACAATGCTCCAAACCATCCTAAAATCACAAACAAGATTGCACATGAGCCAAAACTAACGACATAACTTTGTTTTACATGTTGTTTCAGAGATGAGGATTAGCAGCTTGTCGCTGATACCATACCAGAATATCGAAAAGGCAAGAAGTATCACAAGGTATCCCAGCTTATATAGCCGTATCTTCTTTTCCCACGGAAGCTGATTGAAAATCTCAGTTACATCTACCAAGTGGGAGCGATCTGCATAGCTGATCAAAGGTTAACATCAGTCGAAATGTCAGTGCTAAGAAATAGTTAAAGGGATTAACAACCTTCACATACGACGATTTCTCTACATGTTCCATTTGTAGATGCTTACACTTTGATGTTATAATATAAGTATGGTAGACATATCAGAAACATCAACCAATGCCCCGTCACAAGATGTAGGAAGCACAGCGCTCCGTGAAGAACAAACTCTGGTACCACTGCTCTGTTAATCCGAGATGCCGAATCATAAGGGTTAACATAATCGTATTCAAGGTCTGCCAAGCACATGAGCTGCAATAAATAACTGCAACTGTAATATTCTCCAAGCCCAAATATAAGGAAGAAAAGACCAGTAAGAAAAGAGAGAGAAGGTGAGCTCAAAAATAAGTATGTTTTGGAAGCTATAAGTTAAGGATCAGTGATACTTGAAATATTGCTAATTATTCTCTCAATCCAATGAATCGTCTGGGTCCATCTCTATTCAGACAATTCATCTAAAAATCTAAATTATTTCTACGTTTATATTCAACCTACAAAAACCCTCCTTTTTTATTGGACTGTCTATGCTATGTGAAACTCAAGTAGACAATTGCTAATGTGAACTAAATATAAATATGTGAGAATGGCTCGTGTCCTAATGTCTTGTCTTCTTTTTTAAATATCAAAACAATATACACCTTTTGCAGATTTCCAATTTGAGAAAGTTCATTCACTCCATTTAACAACATTGGACCCTATCATCATAGCTAACAATATGGCTGTCCAACGGGACGGGACGGGACGGGATGGGACGGGACGAAATTAACGGGACGGGACAGGACGGGACGAAATTAACGGGACGGGACGGGACGGGACGACATTTAAGCGGGACGGTGGCGGGACGGGACGAAACGGGACGGGACAAATGGGACGAAACGGTCGTCCCATCCCGTCCCGCTAACAAACGGGATGGGACGGGATGGGACGGGACGGGACGGGACGGGTTCGTGGGCCTTAAGTGTATTTTTTTTAATAAAAAAACGTCTATTTTTTTGAAAATTACTATGTTTTTAAAGTTTGCAACGGCTAGATTTTTGACTTATTTAATAAACTTAAATGTTACTATGTTAGTATGTTAAAAAGAAAATTAGAAAACTAAGTAAAGAATTGTAAAATATTAAAACAAAAGACTTGTAATGAAATAATCTAGTAAATATAAATTTATAATAGAGTTATAATTTATTTAATATAATTTCAAAGTATTAACTATTAAGTAACTAAGACAATTCATAAAAATAATTCATCGCTTAGAGCCTTTTATTTTATTAATAGAACTTTCAAATCTCAAATACAAATATAATTCTTTTGAAGAGCACCTATTCTACGCAGCCACCTTCTAGGAAGGGTTCTGTTTGAACTAGGCCTCTTAGTAGCCAATTACAAATTATCATACTAATATTTGTAAGCTCCTATATAGCTTCTTTGTAACTTATCAATAATATCTCTTGGACATTCTACTGGAATTGGCAATGTTGATTGATGTTCCATGAGCTCCATGCCGTCATCGCTCCCAGTGGTAAGTATCTCATTGTATTCTTCTTCTTCCCTAGTGGTTAGTTTTTCAAAACCAAGATTTCTTCTTTCTGAATTAATCCAATCTCTGAATAAGACGGAAATCTCTAGACTGTCCTCCGCTAATGAATGTCTATGATCTCCAATTTGAAATCTTGCCGCGCTAAAAGCACTCTCCGATGCTACTGATGATGCTTGAATAGCCAGGATATCTCGGGCCATAATTGAAAGTGTTGGAAAAGCCTTGCCACGCTCCCTCCACCATGACAAAAGTTGTTCCTTGCCTTCTTCGTCTTTAATATTTTCCAATCCTTGATTAAGATAAGAATCAAGTTCATCATCAATAGAGGAATCAAAACCTGTTATATCATCCATATCTTCCCATAAAACTTCTGCTCCAGACTTAGAAGTAGAAGGAGCAGTTTCAGTACTAGTTGTATCCATAGATTTATATTTATCAAACATTGATCTAGCATAAGAATATATGCTAGCTTGGCAGTTTTCGAGAGATGGTTGTTCATTTTCTTGAATTTCTAAATTCTCATAAATTTTACGAACAAGTCCCTTTGCACCTCTTAGTTTTAAAGATGGGTTAAGTAGTGTAGAAATTAAATAAACTTCGGGAATAGGGAAAAAATACTTTTTAAATTTTAAAATCATTTCTTTAATGGCTGGTGCATAAGTTGGATTTTTTTTATACTTACCAAATACAACAGAAATTCCACAAATATACCATAATATTTGTGTAATAGTAGGATAATATATACCAGAAAATTGTTTTGTAGCATAATAAAATTTTTCTAAAAATTTAGTAAGCTCTCTGATCTCATCCCAATCAGAATCAACAATTTGATCAACAGGGTAAGCATTATGCATATTAAATACCTTTTGGATGGGCACCCGATAATCATAAGCAACTGTAAGCATTTCATAAGTAGAATTCCACCTAGTACAAACATCTTTTGGAACTTTTCTAAATGGAAGGCCAGCACTAGCACATTGTTGAGCAAATTCACGAATTCTACTTTGTTTATGAGCACGAAAAATATAGCCACAAGCATGTTGTATTTTACTACAAGCATCAGAAAATAAATTAAGACCATCTTTTACAACCAAGTTAAAAATATGGCATGCACATCTAACATGAAAAATTGTTGGATTAATTGGACAAAGTCTAGATTTTAAGCTATTTGCCGCGGTTGTGTTAGCAGAAGCATTATCTAAGGTGATAGTTAGAACTTTATTAACGAGTCCATAAAAATCAAGTATTTGTAGAACAGTAGTTGCAATATATGCTCCAGTGTGTTTTGAATCAACAAATTTATAACCAATAATACGTTTTTGCAAGTTCCAGTGATGATCAACCCAATGACATGTAACAGTTAAATAATCACAACCATTAGGACTACGACCTATATCAGATGTGATAGACACTTTACAATCCAAGTGAAAAAATACACAACGAATATACTGAAGATATTCAGTTTGAAATTTAAAAACATCATTTCTAACCGTGGTCTTAGGAAAACCTTGAAAAGCAGGGTTATAAGTTTCTTGTATATAATGCACAAAAGCAGGGTGAGAAGGAAAAGTAAAAGGTAAGCCACAGACAGCCACCATTTTTGCTAAGTTCTCACGATCTCTATCTTTGTTATATTTGCATAAAAACATGACCAGAAGCAGGGTCAAGTTGTTGTTGAATTTGATTAGAACCAGATCCACTAGGAGTGCCAGAACTGATGGTAGGATCTATAATTTTTCCGGCTTCTATGTTAGCTTATATCCATAAATCTTTGTGAGCACTTCTTAAGTGTCTAGTTAAACCCCCCGTCCCACCACTTACTGAGTGTGCAAATTGTTGCTTACATTTTTCACAGATAGCACGATGATTGACTTTATCATGTTTAAAAAATTTCCATACAAGTGATGTTTTGGGACGTTCAACCTAAGGCTTACCCCTTACAGGGGGTACAGGGGGTAAAGCTCCAAACTGAGATTGACTCTGAGTTGGAGCTTGTGTTGCGGGACTAGTGGGTGTTTCATCTAATTCTTCTTCCTCATTTTCTTCATCCTCAAAAAAAATATCATTGCCAAATTGTCTTTGTAAAGTTTCATGATCTAATTGTTCTCCGACATGAACATCATAAAATGTGGGGGTTTGAGAAAATGAAGTTTCATCGACATGAGTCATTTCATCAATATGCTTTCTAACTCTAGGGGGTCTAGGAGAAGGGTTAGGATTAGGATTACTACTACTTTCACCTTTACTACTTTTTTTACTACTTTTTTTAAAAATACCAAATACATTTTTAGGTGCCATAATTTAAATACGAAACTAAATTAAAAAAGCTAACACAAATATTAAACACACAAATGAAATACGAAAATATAACACGTAAAGTAAACACAAAAATTAAGCACTAAAATGATACGCAAAAATTATATATTAAAATTAGGAGATGGAACGAGTGCACCGTGATTAAATATTGAAACTTGAAGAAATTGCCCGAAATATTGCTCCAAATACTTGACGAATTAATTTGAAGCTTGAAAGTTGCTCCAAAAAATTTGCCCAAATACTTGAAAGTTGAAACTTGAAAGATATCACTTGATACTTGATAGTTGATACTTGATACTTGATACTTGATAGTAACAAAATTGAGAGAATAATATAGAATATAGATAGAATATTAGAATGTAAGAGATTTGAGAGAGAAGATTGATTTTTTGTGGGAAAAAATGAAGAAGAATGGGGGGTATTTATAGTAGAAAATAGGGCCAAAGTGTAATTTAATAAACTTAGGGGTTATATTAAAAGTTTGGGGGGGAGGGGGTGTTTTGGGGGGTGTAGGGGCTGTTTGGACCGTTCGCAACGGCTATTTTTGCCATTTAAGCCGTTGCCCAACGGATAGTTTAAAAAAAAAAAAAAAAAAAAAAAAAAAAAAAAAAAAAAAAACTGGCGGGACGCGGGACGGGACGGGACGGGACAAACGGGACGAAATGGCTGTCCCGTCCCATCCCGTGTCCCGTTTAACATTGGCCCATCCCATTTAACTTGAAGCGGGACGGGACGGGACGGGACGGGACCGGACGCGGGACGGGACGGGACCGGACGCGGGACGGGACGGGACCGGACGCGGGACGGGACGGGCCGTTGGACAGCCATAGCTAACAATTATAATCATTTATTGTACATTTTAAGTTTCTCTTCCTTGACATAGGGAAGCAAACACTAAGAAGCACGATAAGCCTGCCAAACTAGTGTCACACAACATATTACAACTAAAATCCTTTGAGTGGGATCAAGTCACTTTTGGCTTGTGGCTTGGCTCCGCCGAAAACTTAAGTCAATAATATTCAACTATAGGTTTGACCAAGCTCGAAAGGGACGGAAATCAACCGAGACCCTATTAGCAGAGGCGAGCGAGAGGGGATTGAGGGTTTTGAAGAAAAACAAACAAGAAGCTTCATTCCTCAGCGAAGTTTCCTTGTTGTTTTACCCTTGTGTAGTCTCGGTCCACGGTGAAAGGGTCTGCACTTGAACCTCATTAGACTTAGCTGAAGTGTTATCTCAGACGAGTCACATGCAAGGAAATTTGCACTGTGTGGTACTGGCCAGGCTTCCCTAAGGTATCTAATAATCTTGCTTTGGCTCGCTAACTATTGCACATTTATTCTGGAATGATTCATCGTCTCTCATCTTTAAGCGTTAAATAGATCTAAACAACATACGATAACCAAACCTCATTAGTATATCACAACAATTTGTGTTCCTACATTATCAAACATCATTTACAAATAATGCCCTCGGGTCTAATTGTAAGATCACTACTTGAAACCCTTCAAGATATCTTGATTATGACTTTTTGATACCCAAGAAATGCCTGAGAGTCTACTGTGCACGGTTCCAAATTTGGTGAATAATGAACTCGCCCCTCTACCCTACTTAAATAAGGGTCCGAACCCTTGACGAGATATCCTGGTAATGACTTGTTACAGCAAAGGCATTCTCAAACCTATGTGTAGTCAATCAGCTGAAACAAGCTTTAATTTCTTGGATGATTTGAAAGTCAATCAACAATTCTGCATTTTTCAAACTAGTTAAAGTTGGCTATGAGTTCCATTTCATGACTAAATATTTTGTCTTTTAAAGCAAATTAAGTGTTTTCTACACTAGACTCTAGAGATTCACCAAATTCCCACCCTTATCTCTACACTGAGCTATAAATATTCAGAAGTACTTCACCTATTATTCTAGACTCTATTTGTGAATAACAACAAAAGGAATTGCAAAGAAGAATCTTTTTTTTTTCGAGGGGGTGCGAGGTTACCTCTCATTTACCAGCAGACATTAAAAAGAATCTATTTTTACTTCAAAGACCATTGAACTTCTTGGGAATTCATAGGTTGACACTTACAAAAGATTCCTTCTTATTTTTTGAGAACCAAGAAATCCCCGAGGCCGATGGCTCATGTTTCCAAACTTGGTAGATATGGGCCCGTCCTCTACCCTTCTCCACTTAAATATGAGGCTTTTATTTATGGCGGGGCTCACGAGCGTCTAACCCACACATCACAAATTGAGCTCTTACCACTAGACCAAAATCCTAGGAGCGACACTTACAAAAGCTTAGAGGCAGAAGAATTAAATTCTTTTTCTTTCTCTAAGAAGCACTAGAAACTCAAATTTCAGGCTTCCACATATTTGTGCTGCTTTAGTTTCTTTTTCTCAATACAATACAGTACAAAACGATAACATTATAAAACAATGGCTAACAACCATTTAAACAAGCTGTAAATCAAGTAAAATTGCTTCTATTCAAAATTTCCACTTTTGTTAAAGCTTTGATTTTTTCACTTTCCCAATTTCAATCACCCCCAAGAATAGCCAAAAATACAATGAGGTAACATAACTACTACAAAGAATCTATATGGGTTACCCCCAAATTACCAAATAAACAACAACAACAACAACAAAAAACAAAAAAAAAACCCAGTTCAGATATGCATTTAGATTTATAAATTTATTAAGAAATTCAAAAAAAAAAAAAAGATATTTACCTGGTAGAGGATAGTAGCAAGAACAGCAACGAGAAGGAAGAAGGAAAATAGCCATGAGAGTAGATCACCCATGGCCTACTTTCTTCCTTCTTCCCTCTCTTTGTTCTTCCTTTTCTTTTTCTTTTTCTATTTCTTTTTTTCTCTTTTTTTTCCACTTCTCCTTTAGTGAAGACAGAGCTGTGACCTTCACTCTTTTAGGACATCCCACTGTTCTGTTTCTTGCCACGTAATTTCTTTTGACCATTTCTTATGTTCTTTTACTATTTGGTTTAATTCTAAATACACCCCTTAAGTTTTGTCTTTGACAACGAGAGCACCTGAAGTTTGAAGTGGGTCGGAGATTTCCCTTTTTTATTTTTTTTTTACCACGATAGTGTCCGGACTAGCTTATTGCCTGCTATGAAAACACGATGTGAGGAAAGAAAAATACGAAGCCTAAGTTCGTCTCGATAAAACGAATGAAGAGACAAAAATCAAAAATAAGTTGATGGATCGTGAAATTCCAATTAATATATAGTATTGTAGTAGAGTACTTAATTTCAGGTTTTCATACCGTATACATTTACTATAATAGTAGAGTACTTAATATAATATATTACAATACGAAAATAAGTTAACACAATACAATACGAAATGATACATTTAATTTCAAGTAACTAGTAGTAAAGTGGAGTACTTAATATATAATAGATTTAATACGTCCGATTTAAAATTTGTTTTTAAGATTTGAATTAGTTTCAGTTTCCAAATATTTTGCTTTTCCGGATATTAGTACAAAGAGAATTAAGCTTTATCCTTTCCAATGTTTATGTGAGAAGTAATTTAATTTGCTTTGCTTAGTTAAAAATAGTGCATCATTATTAATGCAAAATCTTAATGTGAGACAGTATAATCAGAAATGTAGTATTATTAAAATCAAATTTTGATTCTTTTATGATACTTAAAGGACTATAATCCCGAACTCATTCTTTTATGATACTTAAAGGACTATAATCCCGAACTCATAAATTTCAAATTATGGCTCTGTTTCTTATAAGCAACACGCAAAAGCATATAGTGTTTCTTATAGCATCTCCATTATATGTAATGCTTAATACTTTACATTAATTCAAAAAATGCTTCAAGGAAGAAGCTAAAACAATGATTTTTAATTTCACCAATCATGAAAAACCCAAAATGGAGGTGGTTTAATTCTCTACAATCCAATCAAAGTTTCTTAACCCTTCCATCTTCAACACGGGATATCTACTACCTCCCATGATACCGGATAACTCTATGCACTAAGGCTTGGATATACAGCAAGACATCACCTAGTTTTTTTGCCTTCCGCTGAGATTTGAACCTGAACTAGAGTACACGAAATATGAACAATTTTGTTAAGTGTACTAGCCACCTTGACTAATTCCACGGGATACCTGCTACCTCCCACAAGACGTATTAACTTTGTTCACCAAGACATCGACAGATAGGAAGACTTCACCTAGCGTTTTTGCCTTCCACTGAGATTTGAACCTGAACTAGAGTATACCCTTTTGTTTGCAACATTCAATTGCACCATCAAACATTTCCTCAAGGCCATACTTGTACTTGAATCCAGTGTCCAAAAGTTTCTTTGATGAAAGGCTAGGGTGTTTAAGCCCTCCAATCTCCCTCAAGGAACTGAAAATAGGTAAAAGGTAAGTTGAATTACTTCCTTTTAATCTCAGAGGTGAAAAAATAGCTAAAGGAGCGTAACAGGAACTCACTCGGCATCAGGTATTTGATATTCAGGATACCTTGTTGAAAGGAACTTAAAGAGCTCATCTGGTGTAACTTCTACGGCAGAGCAAATATATCTCCCCTTTGCTTTATTATTCTCCAGAAGGAATATGTGGGCACTGGCAACGTCGTCTACATGCACGAATGGGGTAAGCGAGGGATACTTCATGCAATTGTCCTGGTTACCTGCATCAGTCAGAAGACATGACAAAAAGAGAAAGGCTTAATCTAGAGAAAGTTCGCCATGATAAGCTGATTCACCACAACAATAGAACTGATGCACGTAAAACAATGGAAAAAAAATGTGATGATTTTTAGCTATTTATCCTAAAGAAAGATAGAGCATTGCAGCCCGTGCACTAATCTCCCGCCATGCGCGGGGTCCGAGGAAGGGTCAGACCACAAGGGTCTATTGTACGCAACTTTCCCCTACATTTCTACAAGAGGGTGTTTCCACAGTTCGAACCCGTGACCTCCTGGTCTCATGGCAGCAACTTTACCGTTACGCCAAGGTTCCCCTTCAAAAGATGAGCATTGTGAAAAGAATTACTTAGATGAGAATTAGAAGCTGGAAAAGTCTTGGCTATAATGAAAAAGAAAATGCTCAGTACTGAGATTGAACAAACCAGAAACTAGAGGTGGATACGCGCAAAACCTGTAGAAGCCTTTCTGAAATGTCACAATCTGATCAGATTAACCACATCTATAAACAAGGAATGACGAAGAAATTAAATCATTTGAGTCATCTAAGAAAAAGAAGGCGAGTATGCCTATTGAAGAAGAAATATGAGTATGCCTATTGAAGAAGAAATATGAGTTCAAAACTGAAGAAGAAATATGAGTTCAAAACTGCTCAGAACAACACTCTTATATCAAAGAGGAAAGGAAAACAAGGATACTTCTTTCAGCAGTTGTATTGCGCAATATACGTGCGGCAACAAACATATTACATCAGCTGCCTTATTAAGCAGTTTGAAATGATGTCCTCTGCTCCAAAACTATGTAAAAGGTTTGTCTTTCCTACATGTTTCATATAGGTAAAATCCTGCTCTTTATATCAATCAACTGCACCTTATTCGCAAATTTCCTCACTACAGTTGAGAAACTCAGAAAAGGGCATCATTTAATGATTGGACAAGAGAAAGTCACAGCGATTGAAGAGCAGAAGGGGCATACCAAAAATCATTGCCATGGCTGATCTTAATGACTCTGGGAATCGAGGACTCAAGAAGGGACCATGTATCCAACTAGGAATAACAGTCACCAAATCAAGCCCATGCTTCTCAGCAAATTCAAGAGCAGCCTTTTCAGCTAAAGTCTTACTAATCACATAAGAAGCTGCGGATATAGGCTTTAAGGTTTTCATGACACTGATATCAGACCATGAGCTCTCATCCACTGTATCTAAACCTTTATCATTAAACACAAGTGTTGTTCTGCTGGAAGTGTAAACAACTCGTCTTACTGTTTTTGACTTGAGGCATTCGCGTAAAATGCCCAATGTTCCATCAACAGCTTCTCTTATTTTTTCATCTTCAATTTCTTGATCTCCAAAATTCATTGGATGAGCAACGTGAAATACTCCAACGCATCCTTCAATAGCTGCACTAAAGCTTTCTGGTTTGTCCAAATCAGCATTAAATATCCGTAGCCTTTGGGATGCACCGGGCAAGTTAGTGAGGTAGCTAACGTCTGTTTTGTGACCTAAAAATTTGTTCAAAGTTTTTCATCAGATATTACACTTTTACCTTAAAAGACAACTAACAGAATCAGCGGAAATATTAACCTCGAGTGGACCTTATGGTAGAATTTACTGAGTAGCCATGTTGAAGAAGCTTCATTATCAGCCATGATGCTAGATATCCTGTTCCACCAGTTACGCAAACCATACCTTTGCTATCAACCACTTCCATTCTCTTTGTCGGTTATTCTGTCCTCTTAATCTCGTCTCTATAAACTGTTGATTCGACAATTGATCCGTCCTTTAACCCCCTTTCCTCATAAGGCGCAGTCTCACTCCGACTCTGAGAAGAAGTTTCTGTGTTTAGGTCCCTACTAAGCAGAATTTCTAAACTATGCAACATTTTCAAAAAGTTGTTAGAAAAAGAAGAGCAAAAATAATTCTCAATCCATCATAAGTTGAAAGCATTAAGGGGTCGTTCAGTTGGGAAACAAGTTATCCCAGGATTAATTATCTGGGGATTATCCCACCCTCCATAGGAATAAAAATAACACTACAATCTCGGGACCAAACATGGGATAAACTCATCTCAGATTTAATCCCAGAATTAAATATCCCTTATCCATCGTACCAAAACGAACCCTAAAAGTCAGTAGTAATAAACAACTAGGCTCAATGCCAAAACTAGCTGGGACTGACTATTAAAAAGGAAATACTGCTGTAAATATTCTTTCACATGTTTTATTTGTATAAATACAGTAATTAATTTCATCTTTCAGCTATGACCAAAAAAAAAAAACTATTTTTGGTTCTTATTACAGTTTTCTTATTTGCTTCTGTTAAACATTTCTAAACTTCATTTGTAATACTGAATCATCTAATATCCCTCTTCACTTCCTAATCCTCTTCTCTTCATCCTGATCCAACTATTACTTCTATTTATAGTACTTTCTAAATCTTTAGCTATTTTTCTTAAAAAGATATATAAATATTACTTCCTCCATTCCAATTTATATGGACCTTTGAAACTTGTAATGCAAAACAATACAAAGACATTTGAGTGACTACAAATCATCTCATTAAGTGTAAATTGAGAAATTTAACGTTAAATTATTTCTAAATATAGAAATATATTACTCTTTTTGGATATTCGGACAGATTAAAAAGGAAAAGTATCACAATAATTGGAACAGAGAGAGTATAACAGTAGCTGTTTGTATAATTGACAAAATGTGGAGTTTTCAACCTCAAAACTGAATGTTTCTTTACTGGGAAACAACAAGATATAATTCATTATAAAAACAGAGGAGGTAAAAAAAGGGGAGATTCTTCAAAACCTGGTAATCTGGGGTTACTCAATGAGCTGAAATTTTTCAAGATCAGACTTCTCTGGCCAATTAATTTTGTCAATAATTGAAGATTTGTCTTTTTTTATTAAAAATTGAAGAGATTTTGCATCAATCATTGATTTGAAATTTGAAAGTGCGTGTGTATACTTTATACCCATAGATGTTTAATTAATGTTTGCTTAAATATTAAAAGTATTTATAAATCAATATCACTCAAAAAAGGTAGTCACAATAATATAGCTTAAAATACTTTTAATTTGTTTAATTCTACTATTTTAGCCTTCCTATTTTTGTAATCCCCATAGTTATCCTTTTCCAAAATCAAATAAATTCGTTGACTTTTCCACTCTATTTCTGTAAATCGTCATTTTTCATGCAAAATACTTTTAAATTTATTAGCTTTTTTATAAATAATTTTGAGAATATTTCATTCATTTTAACAAAACAATATTACTAACGATTTCAACACTTCTATTATACTCTAACATGTAACCAACCAGGGTTATGGTGGAGTGGTAAATTACCAACGTAAAACTTTTCGGCACGAATCCGAATTTAGTCGGGCTGTGGGTGGGAAACCAAAAAAAACATATAAGATCGTATTTATTTAATTATTTTTCTTCCTTCTTTAAATTTAAACAAAAATCAAATTTTGAAAAAATTCAAAAACAACTTTTGAACATTAGAGGGTTAAAAATTAGTATTCTGACGCTCGATGTTGATACAGATTCAATGAATATATGACATATGTTTTTTATATACTTTCATTACTAAATCATAGGTAAGTAATTGCTATATATTCTTATAGTAAATTATTCTTTAATCATTGATAAATTAGTATAATTTTGTGATGTATAATTTTGGCAAAACACGGCATGCTCCTAACTCCTTCGGAAGGCCAATTGCAGTGGAGGCCACATTTTGTCTCCACCACCCTTTACTTTCAATGCTTTTAATAAGAACCTTTCGGACGTTACTCTACCACGATTGGTCCCCTTTGTAATGTTTTTGTTTAGCTTTTAATATAATCGTATCCTTATTAGCAAAAAATTAAAAAAAAAAAAAAAAGAATAATAAAAGGAAAAAAATGAGCAGCCTATAAAGTTACCCGCAAATAACCATTTTAGGGTTTTATTGCTGTAGCCACCCCAGAATCCCAGAACACCGCCGACAGCCGCCATGGGTCGTATGCACAGTCGAGGGTCCGTTCACTCTTTCTTCCATTTACATAATACTATATTATAATACATTATTCTGATTTTTATGTTAATTTATGTTTTGCTCATAGCAAGGGTATTTCAGCTTCAGCACTTCCGTACAAGAGAACTCCTCCAAGTTGGTTGAAAATCTCCGCTCCTGATGTAAGCCCTTGTAAAATCTAATTTAAACTTATTCTTGCTCAATTTGATGAAATGGAAATATACTGTCGGTTTTTACAAACATTTATTATGAAGCTAGTATTTTTTAATTTTTTTTTAATTTGTATTTGCATAATATTGGTATGAGATGATTTAAATGGAGTAACTTGGTCAGCGAGGATTCGTATAGCTGATCCGAACTTGTTTGGGACTGAGGCGTTGTTGTTGTTCAGTTATCTCACTCTATTTACTAGCTAAAAGAGAAAGCTTAGTGTGTGTTACCTTGAGTATTTTTTATATTTGTATTTGCATAATATTGGTATGAGATGATTTAATTGATTAACTTGGTCAGTGAGGATTCAGATGGCTGATTCGAACTTGTTTGGAACTGAGGCGTAGTTGTTGTTTTAGTTATCTGATCTCACTCTATTGACTAGCTAAAAGAGTAAAAGCTTAGAGTGTGTTTCCTTGAGTATTTTTTTATATTGTATTTGCATAATATTGGTATGAGATGGTTTAAATGGAGTAACATGGTCAGTGAGGATTCATATAGCCGACCCCAAGTCCCAACTCTATTGACTAGCTAAAAGAGTAAAACCTTAGAGTGTGTTTCCTTGAGTATTCAAAGATGTTGCCTTTCGTGTGTAGGTGGAATTCACTCCAATTACCTTATATGCTTATCCATTTCCACTTAGTTTACCGTTTCCCTTTACTGCAAACTACTGGAAAAATATTCCACCTGTTTCCTTATATAATCACTGGATTCAATATTTCCTAATCAATGTCAAGGACGAAACTTATGCAAGGTAATATGTAGATTCTGTAGCCTAAGATCCTAACCATGAAAAAGCAAGTGGGGGGCGTTGCCCTTTGCCCTTCTGAGCTATATTCCAGATAAATGATGGATGCATAGGTTAGTGATGCCTCGTAACTGCCTCCATATGAAAAAAAATTATAATGATAAGTATGTCAAGTTGATGAAATTAGATGAAATTAGAACATGTTGGAGTTCGTTCAGTCAAAAAGAATCAAGCTAATACCCTGAAATAATGTGATAACTATTAGTTGCACAACTGACTGAACATTTCCTGACCTTGGTAAACTCATTCAGTTATTTCCTTTGTTTTACTAAAAGAACATAAGAGATGTACTTTCTTGTGTTTCAGGTTGAGGATAATATATGCAAGTTTGCCAAAAAGGGTTTGACACCTTCTCAAATTGGTGTTATTCTTCGTGATTCTCATGGGATTGCTCAAGTGAAGAGTGTAACTGGTAGCAAGATTCTCAGAATTTTGAAGGCTCATGGTACTTATTTGGCATGTTTGGCAATTAAGTTGATACTTCATAGCACTTATCTAAAGGAAATGGTTGATTAACCTATGATTTTTGTATTCTAGGTCTGGCTCCTGAGATTCCCGAGGATCTCTATCACCTTATTAAGAAGGCTGTTGCTATCCGGAAGCATCTTGAGAGAAACAGGAAAGACAAGGATTCCAAGTTTAGGTTGATTCTTGTTGAGAGCAGGATTCACCGACTTGCTCGTTACTATAAGAAAACAAAGAAGCTTCCACCAGTCTGGAAGTAGTAAGTCCACTCTCATATATATGACTTTAGCATTGTGCTTCTGAGCCACCATAGTAAACAGTCTAATCTTAATTTTGCACATAATTTGTTCAATGCAAGTTTTTTCAAAAAAAAAAAAAAATGTGTTCAATGCAAGTGATTGCGGAAATTCTAATAGGATATAACTTTTTACCTAAGCATGTGTTGTGACTGTCTTTGGGAATGTGATTGGGAATTTGGGAGGGTAATTTTATTTAGAGACTTTTTCTGTAGCTCCACCAGTGTGTTATGCTCTGTTTTCTCTGGAATTTAATTTTGGATTTCTTTCTAGACGGAGATTCCATGGAAAAATTTGAATGCTTTTGCTCTCCTGGTGAATTTTTAGTTTCAGACACAAGCTGGTGTATCCCTTGCAGTTTAGCTTTGTGTTTATATCATCGTGATATTATCCCTGTGGGGTTGGTCCTCTTTGTACTCTATCCAAATATTATGGAAAGGGTATGAATGAGGTTTTCTACATTTTTTATGTTTCTTTTCCGATTCCCACATCACTGTGCTGCTTATAACTTTTAAAAGTTCATCTGATGTAGAGTGTTATGTTTAGTTAACTGATAGATAGAATCATGGGTCGTAATATTTTGTTAGACAAGCCCCGTGATGATTGGTTCTTTGGATCTGCCTCTACACTTTCCCATTGTATTACTTGAGCAATCTTTGTGATTGTAAGACAAGTCTTGATCTGCCTTTACTTTTATATTAAAAATGCATTACTAATGTCTTTTATTCGTGTGCCTTGCAGTGAATCTACCACCGCAAGTACTCTTGTAGCATAGAGAAGGTTCTGGCATTGGAAATGCAGCTTTTGCAGCCGAAATCTGCCTCCAAATTTCAAGATTAAGTTTGGAACTGCCAGGGTGTTTAGCGAGAAAAGTTTTTGTCAAGATGTTTGCGCTGATATAGTTTTCTGTTTTAAGTTGGTCTTCTGTACGCTTTTCTTTCATTAAATGTTTGTGATATATTTAAGTCTTAGCGGCTTTTATTTAATCCTGATCTTACCAAAGTTTTCAAATTGCTAGATATTTAATTGTGTCACTAATGGAAGTCTTGTGCCAAAAAGAACTAGAAAATCTGGATTGTGGGAGAACAGTATACTTCGGTTACTGCAGGGGACGCTTTGCACTAGCCATTAATCTTATTTCTTAGTTTGAGAATATGGTTAGTTCTCACTTGTCAGAGAAGTATCCAAATTAATAGACTTATTTTGGGCCAAGTTAAAGTTGACTAGCTTAAATTTGACTGGAGTGGCACTCGTATTTTCAGTGAAGATGCATGCCCTATATTGCTTGCTGTTACGAGCTGATATTTCAGTATATAAACATGTCATATAATGTGGATTCAGAATCGGATTGATAGCCTCCACCTGTGTTCTAGCTCGTCGGAGATCTAGATTTGCCTTTGTTATGGACTTTTATACCTCAATTGAAGAGCTATTGATCTCTGCTGAGGTAGCGCTGAGGATTGAATTTTGCATTCACAAATCATATAGTCGGTATGGCACTTGGCTGCTGGAATATTGTTGTTTGATCAACTACATTGTGGCTTCTTAGTATTTCATTGTCACACTGAGACTTCACTGCAAATTATGGTCTCTTCCATAAGGTTAAGATTTTGTCTCCATAATCTTTAATGTGTAAAGCACTTCGAAAGCTCTGAACAACGATGAATCCAGGATTTGAACATTATTAGTTCGAGTTTGGAATTAGGCAACAACAATGAGCTCGAACTCTACTATTTGTAAAATTTTAATGAATTCTTTAATATATACACATAATTCGAGCCGAAGCTATTAGATTCGAATGACACTGTAATTCTTAGGTGCATTGTCATTGACCAACTGAATATCATTGAGTCCGGAACCGAAATGTTGTCTTTTTGGACTCAAAATACTTTTTTAGGTGAAAAAAAAAACTTAGTTACCAAAATATGTAAAACGCGATTTTGAACCACGTTTTAAAACAGCGTTTCACAAAAACGCAGTTCACAACCACGTTTTCTATTATCCTTTACACTGTTCCTCTTCTGGCCCCAAACCCCCCTAGCCCACTATTAGTCTCACAACAAGACGTGGCAACTTTCTTAATCTTGTCGTTGGAAACTAAATACTCCTTCTATTCATTTTACATGGAAAATGATTTAGGGAATCAAATCATTTCATCTCTTACTATTGTTTTTTAAATTTTTTGAATAGCTTGAAGTAATAGTATTTTCATTTTGTTTGTAAATACATAATTTTTTAATTTTTTTTTGAAGAATTCACACTAAAAAGTAGATATTTTGGTTTCGTGCTTCGAATTCTTTCACATAAATTAAGATATATAGAAGAAGCAACACCATAACAATTACTCCCTCTGTTTCAATTTAAAATAACACACTTTCCTTATTAGTCCGTTTAAAAAAGAATAACACATTTCTATATGTAGAAACAATTTAACTTTAAACTTTTACCCTTAATGAAAAATTTTTATAGCCACAAAAATGTAATGGCCCCATAAAGCCGCACCGAGTAAAACCTATTTAAGAGCAAAAATGCTTCGTATCAGGATCTTGTTTTATTTTCAAGATTCAAATTTGAAAACTATAATTAAGGGTAAAGAGACCTTCTTTGTAATCGTACTTTGTTGTGAGACTAATAGCATGTTCGGCCAAGCTTTTTTTTGGGCCAAAAGTGATTTTTTTGGTCGAAAGCATTTTTGGCCAAAAATTGAGGTGTTTGGCCAAGCTTTTGGAAGGAAAAAATGTGCTTTTGAGGAGAAGCACAAGCAGTTTTGGAGAAGCAGAAAAAAGTAGCTTCTCTCCAAAAAGCACTTTTTTGAGAAGCACTTTTGAGAAAAATACACTTAGAAGCAGTTTTCAAAAGCTTGGCCAAACATTAATTACTGCTCAAAAGTATTTTTCTAATTAATTAGTCAAACACAAAATACTTCTCACCAAAAGTACTTTTTTCAAAAGTACTTTTTTTAAAAGTACTTTTGAGAAAAGCACTTCTCAAAATAAGCTGATTTTAGAAGCTTGGCCAAACGAGCTATAATAGTGGGCTAGGGGGGTTTGGGGCCAGAAGAGGAACAGTGAAAAGGACAATAGAAAACGTGGTTGTGAACTGCGTTTTTGTAAAACGTGGTTTTCAACCACATTTTTTTTCCTCCTAAAAGAATATTTTGAATCCAAA